CCCCCCCGTTATGGACATACAGTTTAGGCACCATAACCAGACCCCTTCCCCCACACCCGTCCAAAAAAACAAATTAATTAAATTAGTTGTAAATATAACTTTATAGTAATATAATAATTAAATTAAAATATTTTAATAACATGATTAGAGTTTATAAAAAAATAATTTAATAAAAAATATCCGCACATTATAATTAGAAAGAATTAGTGTATTTTTACCCTGGTTAGTAATATTAACTGACCCTGAGCTAAACAAAAATGAGCTAGCAAATTTTCATTGGATGACAGTAACATGAAGTGGAGTATAAAGCCATTAGACAACAGCCATTTCCCACACGACTGTCCATTAGTTAGTTTGAAGCGATCGTAGAGTAGGTTTGAAATTGCATACAAATTAAGTGCAATTAATTTTCAGCAATTATTTCCGTAATTGTAAATCAAATCCGAAGTAATTATGAATACATTTCGGAGACTCTTTGACATCAGAACTCGGGATCTATTGGTGCCGACAGTGGCTGTCCTCACCATTCATATCATTTGGTAATATATAAAACTATTTCTCTCTCTCTCTCTCTCTCTCTCTCACTTAAAAATTAAAACTAATTCTATAATTAAACTGTTATTAAAATAACAATAGCTTGATGATAATGACAATGAGTGTGATCAACACCAACATACATGATCGTTTGGTGATGAACAAGACCACCAAATTAGACCCTAGCAATAAGGGCGCCCATGGAAATGATCATAACCGAACAAAGCGGTCAATAGGTGAACTAGGCGACTTTGATCGACAAAATAATACCACTATCAATATTCAAACAGATACAACTACTACAACGCTCACACCAATCACCACAACACTGTCCACCAACTCGACAGCCACCCAACCAACAGTCCCGCCATTCACTACCACAACCGCCGCCTCGACAACAGTCACCACCACTTTCACGACAAGCGCACCGGTAGTCAACTCGTGGGCCTCATGTCTCGCGTTTACCAAGTATTTCATCATATCATTCATATTGCTATGGATTGTATGCATAATTGTGGAGACATTGATCGTTGGCTTTGCCATCAGCGGTACCGAAATGAATACCGCCATCGAGTGTCTCATAAAGATTAAGATTGGTAATTATATTATTTGGTTCTATGTTATTATTATTGTGTAATTTACACTTTCAATGATCAAATAAAAATGCTGAGATAGTGTTTATGGCAATATAATTAGTATTTGATTTTATCATTAATTTAACGATATGTTTAATACTTTAGGACTGTTTGTATTGGAGGTATTACTGCTAATAGTGAACATCTCTTTGATCGGTGACTACATTGGTTTCTCAGCACCGGATGGCAAGTCGTCGTGTCTGAGTGTGCCCACAATGAAGACAGTGGTGGACCTGACCATATTCAATTGGATCATTTTGGCCACTATTTTTGTAGCCATCATATGCTATGTCCTCAAGAGATTGATCACCAAAAGTACCGATAGTATGGGCTTTTCACTCAATGCTGTTCATAAGCTTTAAACTACATAAAACAATAAGAATATTCTGTTATTTCAATTGATTAATGACTTGTAATTTGCTTAATAATTATGTATTTTCTATCATTACTTTATTTAATTCCTATTGTGATTATGATTTTGGGTATTTGTGTGAATTTTTTCTCATTAAATTTTATATTAATAATTTAATTTATAAATTATAATT